CCAGTGTATATATATATATATATATATATATATATATATTTATTTTGAATTTGGTTCAAAATCATTTATGTCAATTCAGAGCTTTCTGAATTGAGCTAATTCTGAAAATGGCGTAAAACATCAATAAGAATAATTATAACTTAAAATGTTACACCAATGCGGTGTCATCTGGGCTCTCGTAAAAATTTGCAAAAAATTGAAAATTATTCATTGATAACTTTCGTCTAGATGGAAAAAATTTTCGCAATTTTCGAGTTTTAAAATTTTTTAATACCTTGTAAAATAAGTTAGTTACTTGTTCGTTCCAAAGCCCAGATAATTCTTCACTGCAAGATGATATATACATAGCTCAAAATTATAGCTTTACTTCAAGTGTAAAAGCACTTAAACCTTTCTTTTTTTTGTCATTTTTGTTCTAAATTAATGTTTTACTGTTAAATCACTGATGTAATTTAAAAACACTCTTAAATTAATGATGTTTTATGTCTTCAAGATTCAAGACCAACTTCATAGATAAAGTAAATAAATACACTTGCTTTACAGATACACTTGCGAACGTATTTACCAATAATAAGCAAAAAACACTTAATAAGAAGTAACTTATTTCATCGTTTTATCTTTATTAATTTTAATGTTTGTTTTATGCTGAATTAAATTACTAAGAATTTTTTGAATTATCCTAAGTTGCATTTTTATTTGTAATGCTTGCAAAATCTCCAAATTTATTGTTATTTAACACTTAAATAAAATTAAAAAAAATCCGAACATCGACATGCAATGTGCACTCACCGTGTTGCGATGCACCACCGGTACGTGGTGCCACTTCAGCGGAGCGAACTGTTGTAACAAAAGGGTTCATAGTAAAAATAAATAAACAATTGTAAATTTTCCAGGTGATGAAGAAGGCACAGATAAGGCTTAGTATTTTTACTGAATTAAGCATATTATGAGGAGTGTTATCTTTATGTGCTGATTTAATATCAAAAAATTATGACTCGTTATGTTACTTCAGTATTTTTATTCATATTGAATTACATATCTGACATTTTAAATCTGTTTTTAAAGATTAAACAATAAGTTTTCTTTAAGAGTACAGTGCTTAAATTATTTTTAAAATGTTATTACCTTGAGAAAATGTATCGAAACTTTTAATTTTGAACAAAAATTTAAATATCTCTGAACTTTCAGTAGTAGTCATATTTTATAATTTTTATGGTTTAAAACAATATTTCTTAACTTCAGTATATGATAAAAGTAATTTCGAGCACTCAGTGGATTAATAAAAATTTTGAACTTCTCGTGCTTGGAAGAAATATATCTGGATTTACAGTATATATAGCATACCTGACAATTCTCCTGTTTTTTAACGAAAACTCCTGTATTTTACGACTGTTTTCTGTTTACCTGTATATTCTTAAATTTCTCCGTACTTGTTGAGGAAATTTTTTAAAAAATTTTGGTGATAAAATATCTGCTGATGACAAAAATACTTCTCTTATTCCTCAACAGATGGTGCCATTGCCAGTACTGTAGTATGTTGAGTGTTTATAGTTTAAATAATTATAAATAATGATTTTAAGAATTTTTTCTTTAGATTAAAATTGATTCACATATTTTTTACTTCGCTAAATGTAAGTGCTTATATTATTTCCAATTTTGATTTTTTGATTTTGAATTTATTCCATGACTATGCATGATGTATGAAAACTTAAACTCTCAGCCTAAAAAATGTCGCTAGTAAAATCTCAATTATTTTATTTCTCCAATGTTGGCAGGAATGATATAGAAAAAATATGTATCGAATTTTAGTGTTGATATAAATGTCTCAGTGTTTAGAAAAATATTTTGAATTTTAAGTACTTTTCAGAAACATTTATGCACTTAACGTTCTATCTTTTGCAAATTTAAATTATTGATTAACTTAGCAATTTTCTTTCTTTTTTTCCAGTTCCAAAAATTGAATATGGGACTACAGCTGGAGTAACTGCAAACGGAAACACCATGCCTTATCCTGGAACGTCACCCGGTACCGGCGGAGGAGCGTCTGTTTCAGCTTCAGGAAGGACGAATTTCAGCACAAAGCAACTGACTGAATTAGAAAAAGAATTTCATTTCCACAAATATCTAAACCGGGCTCGTAGAATAGAAATAGCCTCTTCTCTTGGCCTCAATGAAACACAAGTGAAAATTTGGTTCCAAAACAGGCGAATGAAAGCCAAGAAAAGGCTAAAAGACAGCAGAGGACCCGTTGCTCTGGACACTACATCAGCCAAAGAGAACAGTTTGCCGACATCAAGTTCCATGTCTAACATAAATTCCATATCTTTACCTGGTAGTTCCTCTTCGTCACCATTATCTTCTAACCATTCTAACCAGTGACACAAGATCGCCAACAAACACAAACTGATTGTATGCAATCTGTGAAAGATTTTAATGAAGAACAGTTAAAACTTTGTGGTTTTATGGTTCCTATTAACTTAACAAGCTGTATTCCGTCTTCATATGCGCAAATATAGTAAAAATTATTGACAAAACACAAACGGAGTTGTTGGGGAAAAGAGTGCCAGTGAGAGAAAAATGTTAAGGCACTGTGCGATTTATCGCCAAATCTGGATACCGAATATTTAAATATTTTCATATTAACAAATTGACTTATAATTCTGATTTTGTAATATAAGTACAGTAAACTCTCGATTATCCGCACTTTGGTTTCGAAGACTTAATTTAGAATGTAACTGCTGCAGAAAGTGCAATTTCTGAAAACATTTGTGATTTTCCAACGATATTTTATTTGCAAGAAATAGTGTTCTATGATATTTTGAATATGGGAAAATTTTCCCACCGATATTTTGTCGGTTAAAGATTTTGTTTTGCTATGCTGTGAGCAAATATCACGTAGTCTTTTCTTTTCAGTCATAATAAAATCTTCTTTGTTATGACAACGTTGGAAAAAAAAAAGCACGCAAACAAATTACGAAAAATAGTTTGAGTACGATACATTGGTGACATTTTTTAATAACCACAATTTATTTGATACAACCATAATTTATTCATGATCCTCACATTTTTCAATTCACTGGTTAATCAAGAGATTACTGTATGATAAACAAATATTCCAATTCTTGTTTTTTATTTCAGTATTGAATTTATTTTGGTATTTACAATTAAAGTGTTAATTGCAAACCATGATTGCCTCAGGAAGTATTTTGAACATCAGCGATAATTTTCACAGCTTTTCATACAAATGCGACTCAGTGTTCAATTTTATTTTATTGCCTGTAAATAGCATGAGTAGTTTGCAAATATATTTGAATCATTTTTATGTACGGATGTTGCAATACATATGTGCTTTGTTTCTAAGTTAAATTCTAGCAAATAGGGCGGAAATTCTTGACGAAGAGTTTGATTATTGATTACAGTAAATATTTTTTTTCTTCTTTCAAACCAATTATATCAGCAAAGTTTCTACAAAATTTGTTCATAATAGGTTATTGAAACATTATTGATGAAACTCATACTATACTTTGAATTATCGTAATCAGAGTTTTTAGAGTAGGAATTGATTATGGGAAAGAGTTTCATTACCTTCAATTAACCAATGAGAGTCTTCGGAAATTTTTTTTTCTTTTTTTACGTGACGCAAAAGCATGTCAGGCTTGCATAAGTTTTCTTCTTCGCAAATTTTCCACCATAATGTCGAATTAAGATATTTACTAGCTTCTGTATTGAGTTCAAATTAAGTTAAGATTAACATCATGGTGTATAGAAAAAGCAGAAATCTTTGACAAGTATAAGAAATTCTGAATTTCGGAATTTTTTTTTCTTTTCTTACACGACGCAAATGTATGTTAGAATCGTATAAGTTTTCTTCTTGAAAAATTTTTCACCACAATGTCTAATTAAGTTATTTGCTAGCTTCTGTAATGAGTTCAAATTAAGTTACGATTAACATCACGGTGTATAGAAAAAGTAGAAATCTTTGACAAGTACAAGAAATTCTGGATTTCATCTGCAATTTCACACCCTTACCCAGCCTCAATCTAATTCAGAATGTATTTAGATATAAATTACCAAGGGTGTGGGCAAGAAATTCAGAGATACCACAAGATATCTGAAATTTGTTCGCAATCCGAATTCAGTGTCCAATCAAAATCTCATTCATGATGAATTTTTAAATGTAAATTCTTAGGGCTGTGGGCAACGGAATTCAAACTAAATTATTTTATGTAAGCTGAACCCCTTGTGCAAATTAAATTTCATACGCAATGAATTTAAAATTGAAATCCTAGGGATTCGGGGTAACAATTCTGAGATTGAGATGCGAAGAAATCTGAATTTCAGATTTTTGCTCAGAATTTCTGGCTTCTTCTAAATTTCATTTACAATGAATTTAGAACTAAGTTTCTTGGGGGTGTAGGTAAGAAATTCAAAGATAAAACAAAAATCCAGAATTTCATTGGCAATCTGAAACCCTTGCTCACTCTAAATTTCATTTACAAAGAATTTAGAACTGAACTCTGATAGATTTGAACAGGGAATTCCGAATATCAGATTCTTAATTTGAATTCCTTGCTCAATCTAAATTTCATATACAATGAATTTAGAACTAAACTCCGGGGGAATATGGGTCAGGAATTGAAATATTACACAAAGAATTATGAATTAAATTTGCTAATTCGAATCTTTTGCGTAATTTAAATTTCATTCACGATGAATTACATCTATAAGAGCATGAGTAAAAATTTAAACATTGAAAAATAATTCTGAATTTTTTATCAAAATTTAAACCCATTGCTCGCACTAAATCTCCTTCTTTTAGTATTAAACCCCTAATGGTGTGGGCAAGGAATTTCAAAGAGTTCACAAAAATTCGACCTAAATTCTGTATTCTCAGTGTAAATTTTATTCACAATTAATTTAAAACTTAACACCTACTTGAGTACGCGAAAAATGTAAAGATAATATAAAAATTCTGAACTTCATTCTTAATTTGAACCCATAGCTATACATAATTTGTGTTCTTAGAGCAAAGCTCTACACTGAATATTTCATTTGCGTTTATCTTGAACCTGATTAAGGCTGAAATAACGAAGGAAATTAAACTAACCCATAAAATTGGAAATAAAAGAGTTTTTTTTTTTTTATTAACAACATATTAAATAATCCATTTTCAAAGCTCTTGTAACAGTTGTGAGTTCTGTTAAATACATCCACTTATTTTTAGCGCCCTCTATGCTGCATAATGAAAATGAAACTACAATTAGAAAATTCCCTTTTTTTTTTAAATCTAAAGTATTTAGGATTTAAATTTTTAATATTTCAAAAGTTTTTTCAGCAGTGCGTTATTTAAAAGGTGCATAAAATTATGCAGAAAAAAATTGAATAACTTCTTAGTGTCTATTAAGTAAAAAAAAAAAAAAAAGCTTCCAATTTTGGCTTTTTTTTTTAAATTGAAATTTTTTGTGTAATTTGAAATGTGTGTTTGTTTCTAAAACCATTAAGTTATTTTCAGCAAAATAGTATAGAACTAGAGCTTTACTTAGAATAAAGTATTATTATACTTCCTGTATGCTTTTAATCAATGTTTTTGTTGTAAATAATTCTTTTCTTAAAAAAATACGTTATTAATCGTTTTCTTTTTTGAAGAAAAAACTAGATCATTTCCTGATAGAATTGTTCGATTAAACGCATTTTTTTTCTTCATAAAAACTTGTAAATAGGTATATGCTTGACTGTCAATTTTTGTTTCTCACATTTCCATGGTCTTTCATGTGAATATTTATGATTATGTTTGGTTTGTTTTTTACTATATTTTCTGTACTCTGTGTTTTTGTTAGTTTGTATTTTTCGTGCATTTAATCAAAAGCAGTCAATTTAATTCCTTTGTAATCCACAGTTGTTTAAATATTATTTTTGAAAAATAAACAAACAAACAAACTATAGTTTGCGTCAACTTTACTTTGTAGGTGGCATTGGATGTAACTTAAAATATTACCTAACATTATGTATGTTATATCATAAGTTTCAGAAGTTGTTTGATTTCAACAACTAAAAAAATGAATTCTGAAAGAAAAATTAAAGTTTCAGGAGGTGACGAGATTCGAAGGTGTGAAAATAATTGTATTATTATTATTATGCTTTTTTTTTGTTACTAAAGAGCTGTTTTTGTAAAAAAATAATATTTGAAGGAAAAAATATATATTAAGTCGGATATTATGATTAAAATATTAATAAAATATTATGATTCAGTCAATTAATTTCTGTTATTGGTAATAAAATATTTTCTTATTTTTGCATTTTAATAAAATTTGGAAATAATTCATTAAGAAATTATCAATAATTTGAAGCTGATTTTTAATAATTATTAAACTGGACTGCGTTTAAATAAGTACCATTACATCTGGCGGTTTAAACGCAAATAATGATAGCCATGGTATATTTCTACGTTTCTTACTGAATGTTGCTGATCTATTTAATTTGAGAACAACATATTTTAATAAACCAAGCCTATAAACAACCAATTTACATTTGCAAAATTGCTACATAGTATTAAATTGACACGAAGTAAAGTTTACTGTTATTTTATCCTTCAAAGCTATAAATTGTATTTGACGCAAGACTAATCTTCTTCTGAAGTTTTTGTGTTATTTTTAGAGATATCTCATTCAAGTTTTACACTTAATTTTGTAAATATATTTCTTCTACTGCTGTTGACGATCCGTGTTATTTTAATGAATTAAAAATGAATGGTATGGTAATGAATTTTTTGAATTAGTTCAACAATGCCTTCAAGGCATACGGAATATTTTTATGTGGACAATGCAAATAAATCTACAGATGACTATTGTAAAATGTATTTTTGTAATAAATACAGAAGTTATATGTAACTGTACATTCGTGTGTATGATACTTAAACATACCTCAATCGATATGCCGGCCGAAATGTATCATAATAAAAGTCAGATTTCTGTATTTATGTCTCCTCATTTTTCAATATGACATAGTTTCAACTTTATGGTGCCATGATGCAGAGTAGCATGACAGAAGCGTTAAGCTTTACCGTGTTATACACGACATTATAGAATTAAAATTAAACGTTATATAGGGTATTAGCAGCATTTTAGTTTTTCAAATTTATGATTTTTAATGACTAATTCTAAGAATTTTTCATGACTTAACGAAGTTAGTATTTTGACAAAAACGCAACAATAAATTTAAAAAAGCATTATAATAACATTAACTGAAAGGATAGGTGTAACCAAAACTGTATACTCTGTGTCTTCATATTTATAGATTTAAAATTATAAAAACAGAGTAAAGAAAAAGTTGAAGCAATAAAATAGCTGGGGAAAAATACAGAAGCAATTATTATTTTTTTTTTCTTTTGCAGATTTATATTGTGAAGATACTTTTCTTGTTAATCGGAAAGGAAAGACATACTCCTCATTTTTCTGTTCGCATTTAGGAATTAAAAAGATTTGCCAATGATTGGCTTGCTTCAGCTAGAAATTCAAATTGATAAAATAAAATAAAAGATAATAACAAAAGTTCTGAAATCACAGAAGTTTGAAAGAACGCCATAATTTAAAAAAAAAAACATGATAAAAACATTTTATATTTTAATAAAGTATGACTATGATTGGGGATTTTGTTACAAATTCAGATTTTCGGAATACCATTTTAAAAATGAGATTATTTGGTAACCTAAATCCATGATTTTTTTTAAAAAAAAACTAGTTTAAATCATGGCATTTCATGTCAAATTGTGTTCAGTACCGAAATTAATTACTTTTCATGATTTCTCATGACATTCCAGGTGGGCAGATACTCTGTACAACACATTTAGGTGGTGAAAGCTAAAAATGTAGTTCTTGTCATGCTAAAAGCAACTCCTATCTAGTTTGATATTGGGATACTATTGCCACTTATTTAAAGAAAGAAAAAAAATTAGTTGCCACTTTAACTACAGTAAT